CCTAATGGGAGGCCATATCTAGTGTGTGGTAGATCTCTCTGAGTCATAATAGAAGTTCTTTCTCTGTCAAGTTGGTAAATCAGCATACTAATTAGCTTATATTAATTAGCTTCTTTAGCTCAACTATTGGTTTTATCATTCCAGATCCATTCATACCTACATTGGTAATAATATAATGGTTTTTCTTTTGGGCAATGACTCTGCTCAAACTCTACATTTTAGGTCCATGTGGTTACGGTCGTCTGATCCATCCCTCTAGCTCTAGAGATAACATGTGGACTATATCTGGCCTATCAGTGTATTGCAACCTTTTAAATAATTGACTTTCAGGAGCTGTGAGACCTAAGCCCAACCAATGGGAGTTGATTCTGGGATGCTTGTACTGGAATTATTGGACTGGAAGCCAGGAAGGTATACTAGTAAGCCTGGGTTTGCTGGGGACTATGAATGGAGAAGGCAGGTATGTGCAAGGAGCTAAGACAGAGGAAAGTAGGGCAGAGATGGAGAACAATCAGGTCCTGGAGGATCTTTGAACCCTTGTATTCACCTCTCCTGAAGTTTTTCAGATACTTTTCGTTTTTTGGTAAATGTTTGATCTTAAGCCACTTTGAATTGGGTTTCTGTTCTTATGAATAAAGGAGTTGTGTCTGCTATGTCTCTTTTGTGGCCTCTCATTTTTTCGTAAGAACCTACCATTGTGGCTCTGACATCTGTAGATTTCCCCCACTCTCCTTATTTTATTATGTAAATGTTATTTCCTTGGTATGTTTAATAAAGCTGTTTTTTTATTATGGAGTATGAATCAGAAGGAGGTGCTCAGGGAGTGACTGTGCTCAGACTGAGGTCCCATGTTGGACCATTCGCTGGGAAACTGTCCCTGGGGCTTGAGGTGTTCAGGAGTCCAGAAAACCCCCTGGAAGGCAGGAAGTGAGCATGGTGCTCTGTACAAAGAAATTAGTATGGAGAACCTCAGTTGAGGAGATTAGCACCTGTGTTAACCCATACTGAGCAGCCTGTCAATCTGGTATCCAGCATAAGATGTGCCATTGATTGTAAACTTAAAAAATAGTAAAGGGCAGAGTGTGCTTAGGAAAAATGGTAGAAGCATTTAGCAATTTTCAGGGCAGAAATACTATATTACTAAATAGCTCTTAGAATAGAAAATAAATAAATGAATCCTATATAATAAAAGTCTAATATGCTAAGTGTCCAGTCGTCCAGTGACCAGTCGACTGCTCAACCAATCAAAGTGTAATATGCTAATGATATGCTAAGGCCGCTCAACTGCTAGCTATGACATGCACTGACCACCAGGGGGCAGACACTCCAACCAGTAGGTTAGCTTGCTGCTGGGGTCTGGCCAATTGGGACTGAGTGAGATGGGCTGGACACGCCCTGGAGCCCTCCCACGGTCCCTCCCTGGCCCTGATCGTGCTCTGGTGGGGGTCCCTCGGCCTGGCCTGCACCCTCTTGCAATCTGGGACCCCTTGGGAATGCAGGAGAGCCAGTTTTGGCCTAATCCCACAGGCCATTCCCCTTGGGAGGGTGCCAGAGGCAGGGCCCATGGCTGGCGAGCGCTGCTGCAGCAGCGGCATGAGAGACTGATTGGGCACAAGCTCACAGCAGGCATAGTGGGGCCGGGATGAGTGGGAGTTGGACTGCAGGTTTTGGCACAATCCCCACAGGCCACCCAGAGGGACCCCACCCATACATGAATTCGTGCACCGGGCCTCTAGTAAAAGTAATAATTATAAGTTATTAAATAAATTAAATTCAGCATATTATGCTTAAGAAAGCACAGAATGCACAATATATTTTAGGACTATTTTTGTTGTTGTTAATCCTGACCCAAGGATGTTTTTTCATTGATTTTTAGAGAGAGTGGGAAGGAGGGAAGGGGAGAGAGAGAGAAACATCAATGTGAGAGAGACACATCAATTAGTTGCTTCTGGAATGCTCCAGACTTGGGCTGGGGATAGACCCCACAACCCAGGTTTGTGCCCTTGACCAGAAATTGAACCCATAACTCTTCAGTGTGCAGCTGATGCTCTAACCACTGAGAACACTGGCCAAGGCTATTTTAGGAATATTTTAATCTACTCCAGTCATGAAAAATTTTCAAAAGATTTGGCATGGAAAAGAATAAAGTTTGAGTATCTGGAAAATTTGCTTATATGCAACACCTTTCTCTGATGATGCCTGATTAAATGGAACACTATTGCATTAGACATTGTCCTCCCAAACATGAATTCTGTAAAATATTCCTTTGTAAAGTTTATGCTAAACGATCCCAGAAGAGTTTTTTTTATATTTGAAAGAAAAGTTATATCAAAAATGCAATTTCATGGGCATAAAGGAGAGCCCCTGAGTCACCAATAGCCTGGAAACCAAATACTAACAACCTGGCCAGGATAATAGTGAGGTGTCCAGTACTGGTTGCTCAAGTCTATGTCTTTTCTCTCCTAGCCAAACAACCCCTTTCCCATCTAGATCTTATAAAACAGTGCCCCCAAACCTGAGACTCCAAGAAAGTGGGCCTCTGAGAAGTATCAAGAGAGAGTAGGATACCTCACCACGTCCTCTACACTAGGTAAAGGGCCATGAGTCCTATTTAAGAATAAAGAAATTGAGAAAACCACACATCTAGTCAGAGGAAAAGGCAGAGACTCAGAAATTCCTGGCTTCAACAAGTACATTTGCTGCTTCTCATCAAGTCCTAAGGTCAACCAAATGGTGACAGATTGAGGCCTTTAAACACTTCAAGGCAGACGACATGTCAACCAGCACCACCTAGTGGAAGAGGATTGATAACTCACAACGTTTCTTCAACACTTTTGCAGGGTTGCTTTTTCATTCAATAGTGGACTTGGGAGAGCTGATTCTGCATCAGGCGCCTATGCTGGAGAAGTTGGAAGATTACAAGAAACATAAATAGATATGCTAAGAGCTGGAAATATTCTGGCCTATGGAATGCTCCAGAAATATGGGGAAAGAGAACTGAAATGGCTCCACATTATCAGCCATTACTGGGATTTAAGTTTATAAAATTAGAAGGCAGCCCTAGCTGGTTTGGCTCAGTAGGTAGAGCATCAGCCTGCAGACTGAAGAGTCCCAGGTTCGAGTCCAGTCAAGGGCCCATGCCTGGGTTGCGGGCTCAATCCCCAGTGGGGGGCATGCAGGAGGCAGTCAATCAATGATTCTCTCTCATCATTGATGTTTCTATCTCTCTCTCCCTCTCCCTTCTTCTTTGAAATCAATAAAAATATATTTCATAAAATAAAATAAAATTAGGAGGCATATATTCTAACAGGATCAATGATAGTATTCATTACATTTAAAAGTAAAGGCCATATTTAAAATATAATCTCATGGGCAAAAAAAGAGAAAAGGTAGAGATATTTAGAGAAACACTGAGGGTTAGCTCCGCCCATTCTCCTTCATCCATTGGCCATCTGTATTCAGTCCATAGAAAGGAGGCCATGAGAATGTGTTGATGAACAAGTGCTCAGGTATACAAGAACTAATCTTGAAACTTCCTATTGAAAATTGTATTCCAACCCTTGACCCAGAACCAGAAAAACTGTGATAGCTGCCTATAGCTCTCTTCATTGTGGCTGGCAGATTGGGAAAAAAAAAATATGTAATTGTTCTGATTTCAAACCACTTCCTTCTTGTCCCAGATATTATTAGAATGGCCTGATTGATATCCGGTTTTGAACTCCCAAGCATATATGTATAATTAGGACTCTTGAGTGCCGATGAGCAAAACCAAGCTGCAACTAGCTTAGTCCAGGAAGAAGGAGTTTATTGGAAGGTTTCTGAGGATATTTTACAGTCAAAGAAATCGCTGAACAACAAACTGTGGAAAGAGGAAAGGTGCCTCTGGACCTCTGAAACAATGGGAACCAGGGGCTGGACGGTACCTGGGCTCTCTTGCCTCATCCTGGTCTGTGTCTGGGTCAGTTTCACTTGTTCTCACAGTGAGCCAGCTTTTCTTTTGTGGTGGGAAACATGACATCCGAATGGCTCTCCTTATAGCTTCTGCCACCTAAGACAGGTTGGACCTTTCCTTCCCTCAGTTCTGATTTTTTAAATTCCACGGAGGGACTGACTCACCAGGCGAAGGTCAGATGCTTATGGATGCTGTGCTGATAATGCTCCGGATGCCCCTACAACTTACAAAACAATGGCATTTTGGAATCACCACTTCAACCTCCCTTGAGAACTCACATTAGGCAGTTTCTCAAACTAGGAACCCTGCTTCATTTTGGAACTCTCTCCCAAATATGTCCTACAGATCCATGACCACCCAGAATTCAACAGGGATGGGTTCCTTACCAGGGGAAACCAAAACTGCCTCCAGGTCAGCTGCCGGAAGTCCAATCCACACCCATATTCATATGGGAGAGCAAGATAGTTCTAAACATTGATCCAGAACTGAACAGAATCATAATGCTGCATGTTCATAGGGTTAACAAGGCAGAAAGTGTTTTAGCCTGGGGTTTTTCTGCCAGAGGAACACCAGAGGAAGTGGATTTATGCCTTTGCCCAGGCTCCTTGGGTAGTGAGAAGGGTTATCTGTTAGGAGGTTGCAAGGGTTGGATTTGAGAACAGAAAATCTAGGCTTTCCTGTGGATACATGTCCATCCCCGAGTCAGGTCTCAGGTTTCAAAATCATAGCCTATAAACAGCATGGCCGGCCGTACTTGGAGCTTTGTTTCCCTGCTCTAGAAAGTTGAAACTCCTTTCCCCTTAGACTGTAAGTCTGGAACCAAATTAAGTCCAGCTTGGGTCAAATAATTCTCAAAAGTGACAAGTGGAAACAATGGGTTGAACCTTTAGATGGTTGAATTAGTGTGTTCTTGTCCTAGTTTTCAGCTAGTGTGGGCAACTGGCTTGAAAATCAATCTAATACAAGATAGCATTCTAAATTGTGATTATTTGTCAGGGTATAAAAGACTCTTGGTTAATATCAATTTTCTCCTCTTTATCCTATTCAGGTAAAGATTTCTCATCCGGTAATTGCAGTGAATCCAGAAGAAGGGGTGATGGTGAGAGGGGAGAGGTCAATTAAGGAATGATAGGTAAGAGCCCCAAATATGAGTAACTAATTTCACAATCATTGTGAATATTTTATCCAAAAAGTAATAAATGATGATATTTAAATGGCAACTCATGCAAGAATTGAAAAATCATTAATGAAAGGTAGAGACATACCATCTTTTGTGGAAAATACAGTATCATTAAACCAACAGGATAATAAAATTAACTGAAATAAAACTGAGAGGATTATCAGCAGAAGGGGTCTTTGGTGGAAGTGGGGCAGGTTGCATCACAAGACACTATGAAGCCAACAACTCATCAAAATGAAATGACTGTGGTCAAGGTAGATGAAATGGGTGAGATCATAGATTCAAGTATAGATCATATCACCTAATAAGACAATATTTGTGATTGTTACAATTAAATGTTTCACTGTAAGCCCTCATTTTTTTTCTATAAAATAGCTGCTTTCTGATATAGAAGAGAAGAATGTTTAATTCATTGGTTGGTGCTAAAACCATATTGCTGATTCAAGCATAAAAAAAAATCAGCAACCACAAAATAATTTAAAGTCAATTCTCTTTTTTTCTTCTTTACTGATTAAGGTATTTCATATGTGTCCTTATTCCCCCAATGCCCCACCCTCACCCCACTCCCGTTCATGTCCTTACCCCCCTGTTGTCTGTGTCCATTGGTTATGCATATATGCATGCATACAAGTCCTTTGGTTGATCTCTCCCCCTTACTCCTCCCTCCCCTACTAAAGTCAATTCTTTGTAGATATAAATTCATAAAACTTACCACTCTGGTAAAGATGAAGGAACTTGCTTCTTTGGGGCAATGGATACTCACATTTTGACAGAGAACACCCAGAAACTCCACTCCAGTTTCTCTTCATCAGAATTTGGTTTATGCCTAGTGTGGAGAGGATTTCGTATTTTAATAACCTTTTAATGTGTCCAATGCAAAGATGCTGAGGAGGATATCCAGTGAGACCTGAGAGGAACTGGATGATGGGAAGGCATCTAAAGGGAGCAGAAAAGAGACATACAACCTCAGGAGGATAAACTAGGGAACACTGCATCTACATTATTGGAATTAGGTTCCAAGTTGAAAACTTTTTACTTGTTAATTTTTCATCTACCTATATATGTACTACAAATAATTGTGGTAGACTCTGGAGATACAAGCATATAAAGGCACACCAGCACTTCCTCTGCCCTCTAGGACCCCAAAAGCTCTTATGGAGGATCAACTTATTTCACTCTTACGTTTGTCAGGGCTCATTCCATTGCCAGAATATAAATGCACACAAGTCTCCTAAGCAAACAGAATTAGCGGGATTAGAGTTTTGAAAATGTGAGGATCCAAAAATCTCTCTCTTCTAGATCCTACTCTTTTGTTTACAGAGTAAATCTTAATTGATTTCTTGATATTCGAGTCTCAGCTTTTGAAACTATTAGACTTTATAGTTGTAGCACCCTCTGATGACAGTCTTTTGGGGCCAAATTCCAAATCAATAGGAGACTCTGATGAACACAATTTAAGCCAGGTATCAACTTATGCTTTCAACAAATATCTATTGAGCACCACAGAGAACAATACACCATCCATAACCTCATACATCTACGTTTAGGGTTGGAATGGGGTGGAATGCAGCACAGACAATGAAGAGTTATTTTATAATAGACGTTAAGGATGATAGGTGTCATGAAGAAGAATAAAGATAGGTAGGAGGTAAATAATAAAAAGGAGGTGCTATTTTAGAAAGATACTCTGACAGAGTCTCTGGGGAGGTCAGAGTTGAGCAGAGGCCCTAAGGAAGCGAGAGAGCAAGCTCTGAGAATAGGTAGCGGAAGAGCCTTCTAGTGAAGGACAGGCAAGTGCAGAAGCACTGAGATGGGCCCAGAAAGAAGACTCCTGAGGCTGAAGCACAACAAGCAAGAGGAAGAGTGGCCCACAAAGAGGTCCAAGATGGAACCAGGACACATCTGTCTAGTTGGTGTTCAAGACTTGGGGAACTATTAGAAGGAATTAAGCACCAGGATCATACAGCAAGGTAGCAACTATTCTGACAACGGCAATTCAGAAAGAATGTGAAAAAATTTGCAAGTGGATGCCTTTTCTAAGGATACCCCACTTTCAGGAATTTCTCTGTAGAGAACATGAAAATTGGAACCCAATTTCTTTAGAATTGAGTAGTTTTCAAAGTCTATGGCCTTTGTTAAAAAAACTGTGGTACATCTACACAATGGAATACTACGCTGTGGTAATAAAGAAGGAGTTCTTACCATTTGCAACAGCATGGATGGAACTGGAGAGCATTATGCTAAGTGAAATAAGCTAGTCATAGAAAGATAATCACATGATGATCTCACTCATTTATGGAATATAAAGAACAACATAAACTGATAAACAAAAACAGATCCAGAGACAGAGAAGCATCGATCAGACCATCAAAACTCAGAGGGAAGGTAGGGGAGGATGGGGGTAAGGGGAAAAGATCAACAAAAGGACTTGTATGCATGCATATAAGCCTAACCAATGAACACAGACAACAGGGGGGTGAGGGCATGAGGGGATGGGGGTAATGTGGGGATAAGGACACATATGTAATAACTTAATCAATAAAGAAATTTTTAAAAAAGAGTGAATGGTGCGTGCTCAGCATAAAAGATTGCATAGAGAAAAGAGCAGAGCACACAAGATGCTAGTTCTTTTCTTCAAATTATAGGATAACCTTGATGGACTAATTCTAATGGACCAGGGCCTTAATTTACTTAAATTGCTGCCCTGTGTCTGCTCTGTTTGTGTGAAGATGAATCAGATAATGCGCAAACAACTTTATTATAAATAACCTCATACCTAGGTGCCAAATAATACGTGGCAGGATGTCTCTCTCACACACATAGATTTAACCCAATCTGTTTGTGGCAACAGGACTGATGAATATCAGTTCTAAATGGTTAGAACAGATATTTAATTAGCTTCATTCATTCATTCATTCATCCATCCAATAAATATTGTTTAAGTGCCAACTACATTCCAGGCACTATTCTAGGCCCTGGAGAAACAACTCTGGGAATAAGAAAGGTCTTTCTCTCATGAAGCTTATATTCTAAGGGAAGTAGTCAAAAAGTAAACAAATAAATACGTAATTTATCAATTAGTGATAAATGCTGTGAGGAAAAAAGTAAAGCAGTGCAAGTGTGATAGAATGAAGGGAGATTGAGAAGTAAATTCTTTTAATCCAGTGTGGTCATAGGAGGTCTCTCTGGTTAGGTGACATTTGAGCAAAGATATGGCCAAAACATGATCAGAGAAAATGATGCTTTTAATTACCATGTTTTGCTGAGCCACGGAAGAAGATGGGGCCATTTTAGGAATTGTTTCAACAAGATTTTGAAAGAAAACATTAACCCTTAGTTAATTAGAAAATCCAACTGACCAGAATTCTTTCTAACCCTTTTTCATAAGCATTGAAGTGATAGGAAGACAATGATATATACATTAAGCATTCTTCTTATTATTTCACTAGATGCCCAGTGCA